TAAAGATGATGCTTTTTATAAAAAACAGTTGTCTATTATATGTAAAGATGACGATTTTTATACAAATCGTCGTCTATTATATGTAAAGATGACGCTTTTTATAAAAACCGTCGTATATTATGAAGTAAAGATGACGCTTTTTATAAAAACTGTCGTCTATTATATGTAAAGATGACGCTTTTTATAAAAAAATCGTCGTCTATTATATGTAAAGATGACGTTTTTTTTATAAAAAATCGTCGTCTTTATAAACAATCCACGACGGTTTTCATAAAAGATCGTCCTCTTTACATACAATACATGACGGTTTTATTAAAAAATAGTCGTCTTTTCTCCTATAATTAATGATCTTTATCTCTAAACAAACGACGATTTTCTTTAAAAACTGTCGTCGTTACAGATAAACAATGACGGTGAAAAGCCGTCGTAGTTTGACACCCAAATAGATGTCGGTCGATTTCACGATGGTTTGAAAACCGAATACACGACGGTAAATTCCCGTCGTCTTTTGCCTTTTTTGTAGTAGTGATCATTTACAAAAGGAAGTCCGTTTCTGACTCTTGTTCTTTGTGTTGGCCGAGTTGCCCTTCTTTGTGACATCTAATCATTCTTCGTGTACGGCATGTGGGGCTTATTGCAGAGTTGGTTGAACTTGAGACTTGAGAGTGCCTTTTGGTTTTGGTTTTGGTTCTCATTCATCTACTAGACGTTTTGAAGTGCACGCAAATTAGCTCTGGCCCTGGGGCTTTCTGCTACAAGTATTATTGGGTCGATTTCTGTGACAAAAATGGGTGGACTAAAATTAATAATAAAGCTTAAGTTAGGCCTAAGCTACAAGCCTAAATTTTCCAATTCAAGGTCAAACAACCTTAACCCAATAAATGGGCTCTACTATTTGGACCTGGTCATTCTTAGCTTCATTGTTGTCTCTAACAAAATAAAATAAGTTTTTAAAACAAAAATTTTAAAATTTATTTTTTAAGCAACGGGTCTAGCTCATTGGAAAATGGCCTTGATTTGTATATCGATAGTCTCAAGTTTAAACCCCCATATCACCTTAGTAGTGTGTATAAGAAACCTCATTCCATTGTAGTTTAAATTATGATAAAATTAAAGAGCAAGTTTTTTTATTTTTTATTTTTTATATTATTTTTTTCTCTTTTGATGGGAAGAAATCATTTCAAGAAATTAAGGGCCAGAAAAAAAAAATTAAAGTAAATTATATTTAGATCAAATCAGACACGGAACCCGGGTTGCAAGTGACTTAACCAAACTCACTAAATCTTCAATGGTCCCGTAACTTTATCACCAGTGGTACCATAACAATTCGTAAGTCCTCAATTCAGTCTTTAAATGTTCAAATCAATCAATGTGGTTCTTAATCTTTTGGTCCACACACATGACTTTTAAGATTGAAATGAACTATAATTAGATGATAATATCCCTTTAAAGTGGCTGATATGATGACACGTAATCAGTTTTTATTGAAAATTTGGTCAGCATACAACAAGGACCAATTTAATGTCGACCCAAAGATGAAGGATCAAATTCATTACGATTGATTATAACCAAACTCAAACGTAAGAATTTATAAACCAATAACAACAATTAAAATATCATTATTCTACAACGAAAAGAAAAAAAATAGAAAGTCATGTGGCTCATGAGACATTTTCTCTTCCACTTGTTAGACAAAGCAATTGTCAAAGCTCAGACCAAAAAAGAAAAAGCTATTGTTGAAGCCTCACATATCTTTATCTTTTTTCTCAATTTTATTTTTTTATTTTTATACCGGCGGTAGGTGATCTGGTTGGCAGGCTCTTCTCCTCCTTATAAAGCCACACTAGTAGCTATTCCATTACAAAACACAAACTTCAAACTCTCTCTCTGTCTCTATTTTGATCTCTTCCACGCCCACCACCCAAAAGAGAAACAAAAAAAATTCATTACCCTAAAACCAAGCTAAGTATTAAGATGCCTGCCGATAGCTCTTCAGTTTCAGGCCATGGCCAAACTGTTTGTGTCACCGGAGCTGGAGGCTTCATTGGTTCCTGGATTGTCAAACTGTTGCTAGAAGCAGGCTACATTGTTAGGGGAACCTTGAGAAACCCAGGTCACTCCAAATCATTATCTTCTTGGCCTCTGAGTTGTTTTTTTGTCCTACATTCGGAGTATCGACATGTTATATCGTAGGACTGTGAATTAGAACTGGCCATTAATTATATATGAATTTTGCGGTTTTGATTCCCAGTTTGTCATAACACGTAACATATATTGGGAGACGTAATTCTTCCTTGTATTGATATGTTTTTTTTCCTTTTTGGTGCTTTTCTTATTTTGGGTTGATCACAGATGACCCAAAGAATGCTCATTTGAGGGAGCTGGAAGGAGCTCAAGATAGGTTGACTTTACGTAAAGCTGATCTTCTTGACTTTAAGAGCCTTAAAGAAGCCATCAACGGCTGTGATGGCGTTTTTCACACAGCATCACCGATTACGGATGACCCAGTGAGTTTTTTTTTTTTTTTTTTGTTGTTGTTGTCTCTGCTCCTTACTTTGTTTCTTCCTTTTCCTGTTTGGTTGCTGAGAAAATGCCGGAAAATATGCACATTTTTTCTCTTACTTACGTGGTGGAAAATACCATGCATGCACACTTTTTCAATGAGTTTGTGGATCCTTCAAACAAAACTATTACGTGGTGGTTCTGGGTCAGAAACCACTTGCTTTTGTCGATTGTGATGTTGTGTACCTCCAAAATTGTTCTCCAGGTCCCATAATACTTTCTTAAATAATATGAGTATTTAAAAGGGGAAAAAAAAACACCAGCCAAGAAAGGAATAGTTTGGTAACGGATATTGGTTTTGGTTGGGTGAAGATATTTCCCTTTTCATATTTTCTTAAATTAGCTTTCAAATTCACGTCCCACATTATAAAGTCTATTAGAAAGTTTAGCGGCTTTAATTTTTTTCCTACTATTTGCAACGATATATTCATTATCTTATATGAAACAATTTACATTTTCGCAGCATGGTGTCATGATTACAATTTAACTAAAGATTAAGATAAGAAAAAAATAAAATAAAATAACATGCATGTCTAGTAGTTTGGTAAAAAGCTCACATTTTAGGGTACACAACCCTAGCCGCTAAGAGAGGGAAAGAAAAAGAGAGAGGACCCTTCGGCTCCCGGATTCTGTTGGATCTTAGATGTTCTTTGGTTTTTGGGGGATCACTATCGATCTACTCTTCTTTTGGGAGATCTGTTGTTTCAGATTCGGGCTCGCTTTGGTTGTGCCTCATCTTGCGAGTCTGCTGTTTGAGGTGTTGCGGCTTGATCGTGGTAGATCCACTACTCATTGGTGCGTTGAGGCTAGGAGTAATTAGGTGGTGCTCTCTATGTCTTACCCCGAAAGAAGATTAGTGGCGGTGAATTTTCCTTTTGTCGACGTCGTTTTACTTTTTAGTATTATTTTGGTTTAGTTTGTTCAATAAAGTCCATAAACTTTATGAATTTAATGTGTTTTTTCCTCTCATGATTTCAAAAACTTAGTTGAGTTTGCTTGGTGTTATTAGTCTTTTTAAGAGTCATGTCGAGGCTAGTTTTTGTCTTCGATGCCATTGGATTATATTCGAGGAAATTATGGCGGTTGAAAGGGGTTTTAGAAAAGTTATTTTCGAGTGTTATTCTCTCTAGATTTCCATTTTATAAAAAAATAAATAATTTAAACCTCACATTTTAGTTACTTTTTTTTGGGGGTAAAATTAATGAGGTTTTAAAAGTACCAATTTAGGCCATACCCTAACACGTGGATGCATTCCAGAACCATAAAAAATTTCTCCAAAATGTATCCCAAATGCCTTGATAAAAAGATATTATTGTACCTTTATAAAATTTACTCATGATTTTCTACTATAATATATTATCTCTATGCTATTAAAATATTTTGAAGGGATTGGATTTGTTATTGTCATTTTTTAATAGTAAATTTAACTTAACCCCTTCAAAGTAATTTTTTTCAATTACAACCCATCTCTTTATTTTTGTATTTTTGTTTGAATAATAACCAATTTTTTTTTCTTTCTAAATAATGACTAGGATCTAGCTTGGGAAGTTACCTAATCAAATGCAAAATCAAATTTATTGTACTTTTTCGATTCCTAAAATACCCCCAACTAAGTCACTATTATATTTTGTATATTACTGTAGGAACCAACACAAAAACAAATTTTAATTAGATTGTAACTAATGACACATGTTGAATTTGAAAAGATCTCCAAATGGGTATAGGATTAATTTGGAAACTTTTTAAAACTTAACAATACATTCAGATTTAACATACCTAATCAGCTTATCCAATAATTTTTTTTAAATTTACTTATGAAGTATACATGATTAATTATCTTTTACTTTATTATTTTAAAAATATAATAGCATACATACAATTTTATGTTGAAAACATAACATACCTATTACTTCTTTTACGAAAATGAATTTACTTATTATTCAAATAATATACCAAACTTTTATAAAAGTATTTTGGATATAGTTTACCTAATAATTTCCTATTATGCAATAATATAACTTGTAATTTACCTATTATGGGAAAATTTTAGGTAAATTGTATTGATAATAATTTACCTATTATATTGTATTGGATATATACATATTGTATTGATAATAATTTATCAATTATATTTTATTAGGACAAAATTTGAGAAATTTTTTATTGGTCGAAAATTTAAGGAATTTATTTATTGGTCGAAATTTTAGGGATTAGAGGGAATGCCAAAAAAAACAAAAAAACAAAACCAACGTCATTGATATGCTGTAAATGATGAAGTATTAATTAGAAACGAAGGACTTACTGACATGCTTGAAAACAATCAGGTTCACTTATTTGAAGCTTAGTGGCAAGCAATGTAAATATGTATGAGTAGTATGACCTTTTATATATTTAATTTGAATTTTGATTTTATATATAGATTTCAAAATTAATGGGTTGATGTAAGGAGTCTGAGGTGCAGGTTTTCGCAAAGAAGAAGACAGACCTAATTTCTTTTGCTAGAACGACACCGTTCTCTTTCTTTGATCTCTTTAATGGAACACATTGTTTCATTTAAGCAATCATGCGTTTTATTAATAGGTTTTTGTTTGGTTTGAGAAAAGACTCTAGAATTCACTATTAATTGAATTAGGTTGTAGTTTCTCGTGCCACTTATTAACATATCTAATATTTATTAATTAATAGACCATCTTTATTTTTTTTGTCTTAATACTTTTTTTTTTTTGGGAACTTTTAGTTTAGTTTTTATTTTTTTTGGGTAAAGAAACTTTTAGCTTTTTAAATGGTACCCCTCTACTGCAAAATTTACGGATCTACCATTGCCTATATCCAGCCCTTTTTTTAATAAGGCAATGAATGATGGAACAAATATAGGAACAAATAATGGAGCCTGCGGTGAATGGAACCAAAAATGTGATTGTTGCGGCGGGAGAAGCCAAGGTTAAAAGGGTTGTGTTCACGTCGTCAATTGGTACAGTGTACATGAACCCCACCAGGAGCCTTGATGTGGTGGTCGATGAGTCATGTTGGAGCGACCTTGAATATTGCAAGAACACCAAGGTTAGACATGATATTATAACAAATTTAATATTTTATCACTCCAGTATATATAGTAGATGCTTAATGACTCATTATGCACACAAACAAACATCAATGATTGATATGTTTATCACTCACTATGTCTCATAATTAAGAACAATTGTTTTTTTTTTAATACAAGCTTGGCTGTAAACTATTTAAATTTGGCTAAAACCTAAATTTACTTTTATTTTTTTAAGCTTGACAGAGCCATATAACACATGTGGGTTGCTTTGAAGTTTGGGTAGGCATGGGTTCATACCATTACATGGATGGGTAGGAATAGCTTTGCTTACGTATATGTTTTTTTTTTTTTTGGGGAAAAAATTTGGGTAGGCAGCTGCCTACCCTGCCCTTGCTGTAGGACCGCCACTGGTAGTGAGTCCGCCCCTCGCACCTAAATTCAAGTCTTCTCCTTAAAGATTAGCTAGATTAATTTTAAAGTAAATTTAGGTTTTAGCAAAAAAAAAATTTCACTTTTGGAAAAAGCCAAAGCTTTTTAGAAAAAGACAGAAAAACCTCTCAACTTTCAAATTAAAGACATGCAAATGTAAAGGATTCCTTAAGAAATCCAAAAATAAATAAGGGTAATTTTGTCTATTTTTGCTTATTTTACAAAATTTCTCTCTCCTTTGTGTTTTCCCAAAGTCTCCCAAAAATAAAAGGAGGGGAAGCAATATAAGTAAGCAGCCAATTCCCTTGTGACTGTGTAATAGTCGACAGTCTCAAATCATTATCCTTTGTAACTTCTTCTTGAGTCTGGACATTCTCTCTTGGTAGCATCTTCTCATATCTAAGGCCAACAAGTATTCTTCTATTGGTTTTTTCTTAAAATAAATGTATGCATCTTAAGTTTTTAATAGTTTAATTTAGTTTTAGATTTAAATAGTTTAGTTTTGTGTTGCATTGCATTAATTTTTTATTTAATTTTTTATTTGTTAAGTTTTTATTTATGTATAGAGATGCATATCTGAGGGCAAATCTCATTACGTTCTCCCCGACTAAGTTTATCTTTTTATTTTCATGAATTAAATTCACTCGTACCGTCGAGTTTTTAAGGTAAGTTTCGCCTACCTGACTTTTGAATCCTGAATCCGCCACTGACACTACTATGACCAATTGACATAACCTAGATATGCCATAATTAAGAACAGTTGTTTTATCCTAGGGTTTCTCTAGGAGAGTAGAAAAGGTCAAGTCGGTAGAGAAAGTTTGTGAGATTTCAAAGTAGTATTCTCTCAGGACTTCCATGCTCCTGATAGTTCTGCTACATATTGTTATTCTAGTACAACAACTATTTAGGTGGGTGCTAGAGGTATTGGATTATAGTTTGGCACATGGAAGAGATGGTAAACCATTTTGCTTCTCAATTTGTGCCGACTGAGGAGGAACAGCAAGTACTGGTGGTTGAGGGAGGTAATGCTGGTCTGCTTCGAACTATAAAGTTTGTCCTAGTAGGCAAAGTGCTCACGAAGAAACGTTTCAACAAGGAGGCATTTAAGGCTTAAGGCTTAAGATAACCGAACGAGGCATGCCCAATAAGTTTATGCCATAACCAAACTTTGTCTCTCTGCCTCTTAGAACTAGCTCCACTTGTTGTGAAAGCTTGACCAAGCTTTGGTCTCGCTATCTGATGCCTAGTCCAAGTAGTAGAATCTGCCTTCCCTAAAGATTCAAAAATTTCTCCAGCTTTCTTGAGGAGAGCATTAGCCTTTTTAGGATTTGAAGTGCCGTTATGGTCAGCCATAACTTTAAGGCCAGCAGCTTTCGACCTTCTTTCCCAAGTATCACCAGCTCTTTGAAAACATATTGTGGCCATTTCATAGTTATCCTCTTGATAGAGCTGGATGAAACAAATAAAATGGATTAGATTAATACAATTGAAAATAATGGTCATACATACACTATGCTTTAAGGCTTAAGGTAACCATGACGATGATTATGATGCTTATAGTGATAATGAATTTGACAAATACAAAATAATATATATGCAGAACTGGTACTGCTATGCGAAAACAGTGGCAGAGCAGACAGCTTGGGAAGAGGCCAAGGAGAAAGGGGTGGATTTGGTGGTGGTGAACCCAGTTTTGGTACTCGGACCACCTCTCCAACCAACCGTCAACGCCAGCATCATCCACATCCTCAAGTACCTCACAGGCTCAGCCAAGACTTATGCCAATGCTGTGCAGGCCTATGTGCATGTTAGGGACGTGGCTCTGGCCCACATTCTGGTGTATGAAACTCCATCTGCCTCGGGAAGGTACCTTTGTGGTGAGAGTGTGCTTCACCGTGGAGACGTGGTAGAAATCCTAGCCAAGTCCTTCCCAGAATACCCAATTCCCACCAAGTAAGTACATCATCGTCCTCATTGATTTTGTTTTCTTTATTTCTTGTCTAAATAAGATATTTTCTGAGCTACATGTTAACAACCAAGACGGGGATGAGGGTGGGGACAGTGATGATATCCCTATTTTGGTATAAGTAATATAATAAATATGTTTGTTCATGCATACGTAGGCATCTCTCATAGTGATTGATTTAGTGTTTGCTTATGGTCCATTACTTAATGTTTTTATAGAATAAAGAAATTTTTGGCAAATCATTGGTTCACTTATAGATTTTAAACTATTTTAAAATCTATTTACAAACTATTTTTTTTAAAAATAGATTTCTATTTTCAAACTATTTTAATGCAACACACATATTTATATTTTTGAAAGTATTCTTGTTTTTCAATGTTGTGGGATTAAGTTAATTAGTATGTCATATATTTACAGGTGCTCGGATGAAGTCAAACCAAGAGTAAAACCATACAAGTTGACAACCCATAAGCTACAAGACTTGGGCGTGGAGTTCACTCCGGTGAAACAGTGCCTATATGAAACTGTCAAGAGCTTGCAGGAGAAGGGCCACCTTCCTGTGCCTAAACCACAAGAAGTTCCACTAAAATTCAATCTTAAATCTTTATCTTTAGTGCGGAAATAAACGTTGCAATGGTATTTTAATATTAGATGACAAGTTTGTAAGAATATTTTATGTATTGTGGCCCACATGAAGTGACCCATGTCAATTTTGTAAGAATATTTGCAATGCGTGACCTATGTATTTGTGGCGGAGATAAACGTTGCAATGGTATTTTAATATTAGATGACAAGTTTGTAAGATTATTTCATAAATATTATGTATGGCCTACATGAAGTGACTTATGTGATAAATACATTATTTAATTAGTTTAATAAACATTATTAATATATATTGGTCAAATTAAGAGAAGTAATTTCATAGGCTATGTGGAGAGAGAAGTTTTGATCTAGCTGCTCTCTCACTGTATAAATCCTAAGGAAAAACTCAATAGAGGGGGAGGAGGAAAAAGCGTCATTGTCCCACCTCCCCCTTATCTCTTCCTGCTGGGTTAGTGAATAAGTCCACTGGGCATTTTGGATAAGAATCCCCTTGTGGTGATCTCTTCTAGGCCTTGCTTAGATTGAAGTTCCCCTTCACCTCTTTTGGGCTATGTTCTCAATCAAATCATTCTCCCAAAACTCGCTCTCTAGCACTACTCATGTTCTTTGAATTTGGTTCTACATCATATTTGATGGCGGTTGCTACAAATCACCCAATTGTTCTTTGCCATAGTTTTTAGTTTTCGTTTATTTATTCGCTCTTATGCTCATGCTCATGTTGATCACTCTTAATGCCACAGTAGAATGTGTTGTCGATGATCTTTGACAGAACCTTTGGTAAGATGAACTCGGACTTGACAAATATCATCAACATAATACAATCCCTTTCTCTTAATAGCACGGCGGATGATCTCATTCGTGAGAATATCCTGAAGAAGACAGAAAAACGGGCACATTAGTACAAAACAATTAAGTTGCTTAGTGACTTGTCCAACATACAAGAGGTTATTGGAGAGAGAAGGCACAAGTAAGCAATGATGTAAGGAGAGAGAAGGAGTTAATTCCATTGTTCATGCGCCCGTAACAAGACTTGAGTCACTATTAGCATTGGCCACACTGCTCAAGTGAGGTGAGTTACAATACGTAAAATTTCAGGAATCAAAGGTCATATGATTAGTGGCACCAAAGTCAATTAATCCCTCAAAATCTGAATGTAAGCCGGAAGAGTTTAAGGTTCAACTATTGTTACCTTGGGAGTTACTTCTAGAACTCATACTTCCCTAAGTTGGAAAAGTTCTTTATTTACAAGAGCATAAGTCTACTCAATTATCAGCAAGCTTTTCACCCTTTATGTCTTATTAAACCATATACTATTGACACCATCATTCTACTATGGTTTGTGTCATTGACTTTGTGTTGGTGTGAGTCCTATTTTAGGTAGGAAATTATTATAAGGATTCTTGTAAATATTGTATTACCTGTTTTGTTAGGATTAGTTTTTATCTTTTCCTTGGGTAAGAAGGCATTGTACACTATAATACACCTTCTTTGAGAGAAGAAATATATCTCAGAAATTTACCATATATCCTTGTATTTGATTTGGTGTCAAAGCCATGTTATATTTTCCCTAGAATGGCCAAACCCCCTTACTGCTATAGATTTTTTCTTTTTTGCCTATTATTTTGTTTTAATTCCTTGCGGTGTTCTTTGTCTCCATGGGGGATATGTAGGATTTGTTTGATGAAGATGAACAATTCAATGAGGTACCAAAAATTACCTCAAGGGGTTCTGGTCAACCTATGTCAATTGTCAATGTTCATTATGATTCTTCCGCTGCTCCTACAATTGTCAAATTGAATGGAACAAATTATTCATTATGGTCCCAACTGCTTGTGCTACATGTTGCTGGGAAGGGAGAATATGGGTATCTGACAGGCGCTTCTGCTGCACAGGTATCTGACAGGCGCTTCTGCTGCACCAGCTCTGGCAGCCTCCAATTATAATAAGTGGTATGCTAAAAACGGAGTTGTGAAAGGATGGTTGATTCAATCTATGGAGCCTAATATTATGCAAATTTTCCTTCCTTACAAAACTGCCTAAGATATGTTGAGAATGTGAAAAAAAATACTATGATGGGCAAGATCAGTCACAGATTTTTGAGTTAACTAGTCGGGTAATCAAGGCGAAACAGTATGGGTGACAACTTGTCACATAGTATGCCGAATTGCAAAGTATTTTCCATGAGATTGATTATCGATGACCAAATAAATTTACTAATTTAGCAGATATTTTGTTTCGTCAACAAGAGATTGAGATCGAGACGGTTTGTGTATTTTTAGCTGGATTATATGATGTGTTTGATAGAGTTTGTAGCGATATTCTTCGCATGGATCCGTTTCCGAATTTGGAGAAAGCTTTTTCATGTGTTAGACGAGAAGATCAGCAGCTATCCACCATGATGGTGCCACCCATCCTGGTGAACACTGGAGTTACTATGGCAGCAAGGAACTCCAGGCCTACCTCTTCCTACAAACCTGCCAATTCTACAATTAATGGACTTACAAGGCACTCTATGCCTACCTCTTCCTACAAACATGAAGGTTCTACAACTAAAGGACCTACAAGTTCTAGAAGACCTAGTGGTCTGCAACGAGTTAAACCTTAGAATGGTGGAAGGTGTACTCATTGCAACATTGCGAATCACTTTGTAACTAATTGCTTTAAATTACATGGCTATCCAAAATGGTGGGATGAAGTCAAGGAACGTAACAAGGCCAAAGCAGCAATTGAACAATGCGCACAAGGCAAGGTCGCACTCTGCATAGTATCTCCCGACCCTTATGTCCCACAAACTTCCCCTATGTCATCTGTCTTTTCCTCCAGGTTTTGCCATCTTCCCTACAGGTGATTCGGTCACTTCTTCTGATACCTTAGGTAGTGCTTTTGCTGCTGTTGCTGGCTTAGGTATTGGTTTTGGTTGGATTATAAATTCAAGTGCTTCAAATCACATGACATTTGACCCCACAAATTTGAAGACTCGTACTACTCCTAGCCTTACTAGTATGGTGAATGAGAATAGCCAATCCTACCCTGTGATTGGGGCAGACATTGTTGATCTTTCTTCAAATTTAGCTTTGGAACATGTTCTTATTGTTCCTTCTTTATCTCAGAATTTATTATCTGTCGGACAAGTGACTGAACAATTAGATTGTTTTGTATTAATCTATCCCTTATTTTGCCTTCTTCAGGATATTCGAACCCAGGAAATAATTGGGCATGGTACTAAGAGATGGGGACTATATTATGTGGATGATGTTTGCACGAGGGAGGCTCTTATTGCTCATGACTCAGCTGTAGACAAGAAGAAATACATTTGGTTACAGCATTGGTGTTTAGGACATGCTTCTTTTGGTTATTTAAAATATTTATTTCCAACTTTATTTTTGGATTTGGATATTTACAGTCTTCAGTGTGAAACTTGTATTCTTGCCAAGAGTCACCGTGTTTCATACCCTATTAGTTTCAATAAAAATGATAAACCTTTTGCTCTTATTCATTCTGATGTATGGGGTCCTTCCCCGGTATCTATAATCTCATTAGATGGTTTATGACTTTTGTTGATGATTATACGAGAATGACATGGATATATTTTATGAAACATAAGAGTGAGGTTTTATGATGTGCTGTATGTTCCTAATTTGGCTCAAAATTTACTAAGTGTGGGACAACTTTTGCAAAGAGCATTCTTGTTGAAATTTGAATATGACTGTTGTGTTATTTATGATAAAAAGAATAATAACCTGGTGGCAAAGATAAAAATAACAACAAACAAAGTTTTTCCCATGTTGATGACATCAGAGGAAAACTTTGCTTTGGAAGCAGAGAAAATTGATGGATCATTGTTATGGCATCTAAGATATGGGCATTTGAATCAAAAAAGCCTGCAGCTGTTACACCAGAAAAATATGGTGGTTGGACTTCCCTCTATTCACTCTGAAAAGGAAATATGGGAAGGCTGTATTTTTGGAAAATTCGATTGGCTACCATTCTCACAATCATCTTGGAGAGCAAAAGCCCCTCTTGAATTGGTACATGCAGATATTTGCGGACCAACTCGTACACCATCCTTCAATAACAAAAGGTACTTCATTCTATTCATAGATGGTTTCTCAAGGATGATGTGGGTATATTTCTTAGAACAAAAGTCAGAAGCATTTTCTATTTTCAAGAGAAAATCAAAGTGGTCACAATTTGAAGGTGTTAAGAACAGATCGTGGTGGAGAGTTTACATCAAATGAATTTTCTGAATACTGCAAAAGCAATGGTATTAAAAGAGAGTTGACAGCAAGGTACACTCCACAGCAAAACGGAGTTGCCGAACGAAGAAATCG